CTCGGGGGCGGGGGGGGCGGGCGGCTCCGGCCCCCTGTGAGGGGCTGCGGGTGTGAGAGGAGGGGGCGTCCCGGGAGGCCCCGGTCTGGGGGGCGGGAGCTGGCGGGGTGGTGGTGGGGAGGGTACCCCGGGGGTCCCCGGCCTCTCCTCTCAGAAGGGGGTGCGGGGAAGCGATGAGGGTGGGAATCCTGGGGTCCCTCGTCTCGGCGGTGCCCCAGGGATGGGCTCGCGCGCGGCCGGACAGGCGCAAAGCCGGGGCCCTCGCGTCCCGACAGGAGCAGGGCAGGTTTACGTATATCCACACGCACACGCGCTTTGGCCTGGTGGAACAAAATTAATTGTGCTTTTTTGTTAATTGCTTTGAAGCAGCTGCTGCTGACCTCGGCACATGAGGAGCTGTGGTAGGGCAGATGACCCCTTTCATCCCGGGGGTGAGTAGTAACCGGCGCCGGAGGGTGTCGAACGCAGGCCCAGGGCCTGGGGCAGGCAGCGGTTGTGCTGCCAGGGTTTGGACAGGTACTGGGAAACCTTTTTGCTGTATAGGAAGGACCCTATCTCAGAGCTGAGGTTTGGTTTTAGCTATTTTACTGCTGTTTAGTGTGCAGAATATGCAATGCTTCAAAGCTAGCAAAGTGAATAACCTGTTCTGCCTGATGCAAATGGCTACAGGTTGTGTAAATTCTAATCAGGTGAAGAGAGTATTTAATAAACATGTAATAATGTGGAACGTTAGAAAGGCATGACTACACATAGTATTGAATGTATAAAAACATTCAAAGCCGTATCTTTAAAAGTAGAATTCCTTGCAGAATCTTACATGCATCCAAATAAAAAATCACACCAGAGGTATGAGTATCTTAGGTTTTGTACAAATGATCAAACCTGTATTCTTTATTGACAAAGGAACTGTGTAAAAAGGAATTTAGATAATATTTTAAAACACTAGTGGTTTTCACACAGTGTATGTAGTTGATGTTGCAAGCTCTATGAAGTTAATAGCTTTTTCTGTATCATATGCACCTGGCACAGTATCCTTATCTGCTGATCCAGATGGGACAGCCTACGTCGCTCAAAAAAGCTGTAAAAATCTGACAATTCATAATATAACCATTTTATATCAGACCGTGTTCTTGTTTGTAAAACAAACAACCTGTTCGCCCGAAAAACCAGGTAAATATTTCTGCTCCAGAAAACACTAAAATAGGTGATACAAAGAAGAGAATAGCCTGCTTTTGCTTTTTTTTAGTGGTGCTGGCATATGCATATATGTTTAGGGAAGCAGGGCTAGCTTCCCTTTCCCTAAACTTCATTGTCTTTTGAATTGCCAAACAAACAGCACCGAAGTCATTCTGAGGTGTCACTGCAAAAAGACAAGATTGAGTTGCTCTGTAAGTTTAATCTCATATGAGCCGTGTAAGAAGTTTTTTAAAAAGGAAACAACCGACAATAGCAAACAAACCCCTCATCAAAGCTTTCAGGCCACAGTTGATCAGCTTTAACTGACTGATTGATCCTCTCTATGAAGAAAGAATTCTGGCTTGCTTAACTCCTGGTTACAACTCCTTACATAAAAAGATGATTAATTATGAGCATAAAATATGCCTAAGAACATCCGTATGTACAGTTCTGTGTTGGTAGGGAATAGTTCTGTGGTAACAAGTTTGAGAAATTTCAAGTCCTTAAATTGGAGTGATGCAGAAATTAGTGATCTGGTACATGGATTAAAGTAAATACTAGTTTGAACATAAAGTTAAATGCCTCATAGTGCAATCCAGCATGTGTTGCTTCAGTGACATAGGAAATGGAGAACTATTACTTCTTTTTTTAACATGTGCTTTATTATTTGGAAGTCTCATGCATCTGAAGTACCATTATAAGGAGCACCTGTAGGAAAATTAAACCTAGAAGCATGCATTTGAACGTAAGGATTGTCTGTTATTAATGAAATATTTCAAAGACATTGAAAATAAGCCTCTTTTCTTAGCTTTACAGGAAAATGCACATTAACCTTATCACAGTACGTACAAATATTGTGGATGGACAATAGAAATCACCACCCTTCCATATGAGATGCATCAAGGACAAATTGTTATCCCTTATAATGTCAGAAACATAAAAGGCACCATAATAGAGTGTTTAGAAAAAACTCAGTTTATGCCATTATATTTTTATTTAAAAGTGTAAGAATTGCTGTCCTGACTTAAAACAAAAAGCCTTTCACACCTGTAAATTATCATTAGAAACTTGTAAACCTTTGCATTTTTTTCCAGAAGTATCAGGTGCAAATATAAAATCTATTGACTTATTAGATTACAAATACTACCCCATGAAAAAGCTGTAGTTACAAAAATATAAAAAAATATTCTAACTCCCATTGTTAGATCTTAGCTTCAACCTACACTGCATTACAAGTCCAAAGCCAGATCTGATTTGGACACGTTCCTAGGATAGGAAAGTGCTGTTTGTCTTATTTTTACATCAATATTCTGAGCTCTTACTACGGTTTTGCTTCCTGGATTTGTTTTGTTAGTGCATATTAAGGATGCCAAGTGGAGAGTGCTAATAGATAAAAGGTTGTATTTATTAATGGATAGTAGCAACGTAAGTGTTCTCAGTCTGCTGTCCTCCAAGAAGTCCATTTCTCCAAGGATAAAAGTGTAGGTTTTTTTTTCTCCAAGCCTTCATAGTAACTTCGTGTAGCAGCGTGCCATTTTCCTTTATGAACCTGTGACCACTGGCAGGTGACTGAGAAGTACTAAATTCTTCTCACAGACTTCAGTAAGGAACTGTGAGAAGTACACCAACTGCTAATGCTATGTCATAGACTAGTAGCTGCTGTTGCAAGGACAGTTACTGGCAACATCTCTTGCCTTCCACACATAATAGATTGGCACATGCTTTATCCATACGGTGATTCTCTAGCCCTTGGCTTTAGTAACCTGGATCAGCATAGGATGTTGAACCAGCTACAAAGACAGCCTAACAAAGTGCTAGTAGACATTAAAATGAGTTTACTTCTAAATAATAACTTAAAATTAATGACTAGATTAAATGAGATATTCTTAATGAATAAACTTCGTAATGCTAAGCCTAAGCCTGACAAATGCTAATGGCTTTCATGGCTGAATACTGGAAGCTGCGTTCCTTCAGTCCTTTATCAGTGCTAGCAGCTGTCCAGCTTCCAACTCTAGAGAAACCGAAGCCTTCTTTCTTTGTGCAGGGAAACTAGCATAGATTAGTAGAGTAATACAGCTGTACTGCTAGATAGCAACCTGGTTTAGCTGGGTTTTAATAAGCACTCGGGATCATTCAGCCAGCAGTATGACTGTGGAAGATTTAAGAGTGAGCTGTACTATCATTATCTTTATGCTTGGTGCAAGACATCTTCCTTTAAATACCTTTTCCTTCATTAGAAACCACCCCCAGCATTTCTCCTGGTAACAACATTTGTTAGTCCTTGCCAGTTCAAGCTGGATTTTGGCCAGCTAATGGGTCTTTCAGTCACATGGTTCCAAACAAATGTTCTCCATAGATAAAGCGATTCTGAAATAGTGTTGTGTTTTACCCTACTTGAAAGGATTGACAGTACTCACAGCTGCTTTGAGACAGTAACTTGTTCTGTGTATATAAAAGATAGGAGTTAACAGGAGACTCCTGGAGTTGTTACGGGAGGAAGTCTTCAGTGCCCTCGTCTTATGCTGGAATAATGTGTTGAATAGCATATGAATAAGAAGCTAATATTCCTCGTTATGTTTCCGTTTCATAAAAACAGGGTTCAAGCAGACCCCACGTTCACTCTTCTGATCAAAACTGTATATTCCACTCACATTATGCTGTGATGGCAGGATTTCTTTTTAACAGAAGTTCAGCGGTATCTGCACACACCTGCCAAAGATTTTTTTTTAAATAAGCACGCTGTACCTACACGCTTAATCAGATTTGGAGAACACTTCATACTTTACAACTACAAAAAATACTAAACCAAACAATACTATAACATAGGCTTTTGAATTTTTGTTTAGTAGAATTTTAAGATGGGAAGCATGTTCCTAGCTAAACAATTGCTCTTGGCATTTCTGTTTTGTAAAAAAAACCACGCAACAGTAGTAATTTTAATGAGCAACTCCCTTCCTCAACCTACTGAGTCAAAAGTTCACAATTGTAGCTTCCAATCAAGGCACAAAATCATTTACTGACTCTTTCTTCCACCACTTTCTTCACATTCTCCCCTTCCCCTTAAAAAAACAGTTGGTGTAACAATGTCTTCTATACCAGACATTAAATTTAATAGTCCAATAAGTTGTAGGAGTATCTGAGATTGGTTCTGTCTATTTTGAATTTAGTTAAATTAGATGAACAGCACATTCTCAGCA